GGTATAAAGTCAAAACATTTGTTTAGGCTTCATTCCCCAGTTCTTTCCACAGACCCTTCGTGTATTACTTACCCGAGAGAGATAGTTTTAGAAAAAAGGATATATGAGTATCAACAACTAATTGACAACCGATATATCAGTTTTTCAATTTTCTCAGGTTTTTATGTTTGTTATGAATTTGGTTCTATCATCTACAAGGTGGGTTTATTATGCTTGTTTCTGATTAGCCAATTTTCGATACAGTCTCAAGAAAACGCGTTTGTTGATCCGTATCATAGGTTTTGATCTCCGGATCAAGTGAAAAAATATGTTTTTCTAGTTTATAAAGAATTTCTCCATTTAAAATGGGGACAAGAGGCCATTCTATCTCGTATATTTTTTCGCTAGTTTGACTGTTATTTTAGAAGGAATAGACTATATTCATTTGACCCATCAATAGTAAAATCGGGTCTTGATCGTTGGTCTTGAGCACGCTTTATTTCTGTTCTCGCTCTAACATACGTGTTTCAGTCTTTACCTTGCTCGGGTATATCAAATACGGAAACTCAATTATTCTCTTCAGATCGTGTATACTAAATTGCTGATTTGATTTCTTGGGCATTTGGAAAAGTAGAGCTATGTGGCGATATATTAAATAACATGAAATCCTCATAATTCAAACATAAAACGAGCAAAGTCGAAAAATTGATAATTTAACGGCAACTTACTAATTGAATTTAAATTCTCTCTCATTGACTCTGGATTGCCGAATAGCAACTAGGGCTATGGATTACCTCACACTACAAAAGGTGTTCTAAATTCGACTCTCACCATTAGTCTGTCGGTCAAATCGCGGCAATCTTGCGCATTTAGGTTATTATGAAAATGGCATCTAGAATGTCCGCAGTTCAGAGTATTTCTGGAGTCGAAAAAAAAAAGATTTGTCACAAAATTCAATTTTATTGAACACATCCGTTTACATGTTCAGGATGTAAAAAGTGTGTAGCAGCCTGCAACATCGTTGAGGCTTTTATACCTTTTTAATATGTCCATTATTATCCTTAAATTATTATTCTTTGTTTACCCCGAAGCAGCCGCGCAGGCAGACCGCGGCTGCTATGAGAATCCCAAAGAAATTTTTTTTTTGAACTTAAAGTTAATAGAACCGGGAAAAGTACTTCTTAGCCCCAAACAGACAGCCTAGCTTTTTCCCAGCTGCCTCTATTGGCGAGATGTGTTCGTGCCAGATCAGGTCTTCGCTGATCTGGACTTCGACCAGCTGAAATGAACGGCTCTATTTGGCAAAACTTGGCCATCCATTGAAACAGGATGAGCGCGAGGACGATTTTTGTCCTTTAAGGTACAGTACTGTGTTTCGGAAGCATAAACTACACTAAGTGTCATATAAATCCGAACACCCAGTTTAAATGGTTTTATTTTAATGAAAGTTGGTGAATGTATTTATCTTACTGTAAATAACAAGTGAAAAAATTTTCAGCCTTATCAGTTGGACATTCCGGTTTTTATTTAATTCACTAACGCTCTAAAAAGAATATTTCAGCCGCAGTAAAGAATCAACGTTGGCGGATTTTGGTTCTTGACATCCTTTACGATCGGTTACGATGCCTAGAGTACGGAGACCTATACGATTTCGTCAACTTAGTGAGTTTGATAGGGGCCGTATAGTGGGACTTCGGGAAGCTGGACTTTCTTTTCGGGCAATTGCAGTTAGAGTGCAAAGAAGTGTAGACACTGTGGTTAGGTGTTGTCAGGCATGGCTTCGAGAAGGCCCTACACAAAGAGCAAGGGGCACTGGACGCCGCCGTAGAACAACAGACCGTGAAGATCGCCGCCTAAGATTATTGGCCTTAAGGGACCGTTTCTCCACTACCAGGTCCATTGCAAACGAATGGTTTGCAGAACACAGAAGACCTATTGGCATGCGAAGTGTCTACCGACGAATGAGAAGTTTTGGCTTGTTTTCATACCGGCCACACTGGGTCCTCCCTTTAACTCGAGAACACCGACGTAATCGCCTTGAGTGATGCAGACAACGGTCACTCTGGGATCAGGAATGGAACAGTATTGTCTTTAGTGACGAGTCTCGATTTTGTTTAGGCATGCACGATGGTCGTGCCAGGGTTAGAAGGCGACGTGGTGAAAGGAGGAATCCACAGTTTTTTGTTGAAAGACATGTTCATCACACTGTTGGAGTTATGGTTTGAGGTGCTACAGCTTATGGTTCCAGGTCACCTTTAATCTTCATCAGAGGTAACATGAACGCGCAGCGTTATATCCACGAAGTTCTAGAACCCCATCTTTTACCCTATCTTGACACCCTGGCAGATTCAACTTTCGAACAAGATAATGCCCGACCACATGTTGCAAGAGTCACAATAGACTTCTTTCAACATAATGATGTCACATTGTTACCATGGCCACCAAGATCTCCCGACTTATCCCCAATTGAGCACGTGTGGGATATGATGGGTTGGAGATTGCTCAATTTGCAACGTCCTCCTCATACTCTAGAAGCACTTCGAGAGGAGTTGGTGGTTGCCTGGAATGAGATACCACAGGAGGACATTGACCACCTGATCAAAAGCATGCCTAGGCGCGTTGGAGAATGCGTAGCACATCAGGGTACATCCACACATTATTAAAGGTCAAAGGGCTTTAAAGCAGTGCAATCATTTGAAATTTTTATCATTCACTTATTATGCTTCATTAAGTACTTATACAAAATTTTATTAAAATAAAACCATTTAAACTGGGTGTTCGGATTTATATGTCACTTAGTATATATCGTGCCATAAGTAGCATCTCTACATTCATCGCGGTTGGCCTTTTTTACCTGAAGTTCTAACTCAGCTTACCATCATTATTGCATAGGGCGAACTATTTGGCGAGTCCTTTGCTGGTGATCGCATACGCAATCGCTGGCAGAGTGGACATCGACTTCGAAAAAGAACCACTAGGAAAGCGTCCGGATGGCAGCGATGTGTACCTGAGAGACGTCTGGCCAACCAGGAACGAGATACATGCCGTCGAGCAGAAACACGTCATACCTGCCATGTTCAAGGAAGTTTATGCCAGGATACAGAAAGGTAGCGGAATATAAACTAAACACGATGCTTTCGTCCGTCCGACCAGAAGTCAGCGAACCATGGACAGCTGTTTCGCTAAGACAGTGCAAAGCGCCATCTATCACCAAAATCGACCACTGTGGAGAGTGCATAGCAGCTATTTGTTGGAACTGAAGAGATCTCAGTTACCATGTGACCACTAGATGGCTGACGATAGCCAGAATTGTTAGCCATCTAGCGGTTACATGGTGACTGGGCTATTAAACGCGCCATGTGATCTTTCCAGTTCCAACAAATCGCTGCTATGAACTCTCAGTGGTCGATTTTGGTGATAGGTGGCGCTGTCTTATTTCGGTAGCGCAAGATGATATAATCATATATTAATCATTGCAATTATAGGTTATTATAATAGGCCGATACGCAGGTCATCCAACGCCATTCATATTCATTTAATCTAAATCAGTAATCAATCTCACTTTTCAAATTTACTCCTAATTCGTATCGATTATAATTTTGATCACGATACTTGCGAGCAGATCAGTTTTTTTATTTTGAAATCGTTTAATTTTACATTACAGTTATATTGAATTAGTACCAGTGAGTATAATATGGGGAAACCAGTAATAATCGTCGTACGTGAGGCTGTTGCCATTGGGGCGCAAGTAAATAGACTATATATTGGTGGTGATTGCAGAATACCAGTAGGCCGCAAAGGATTAAATTATTCTAAATCTAGATAAACGTTCGCTTAAACGACTTGCACATAACACTGTCCGTGGAAATGCGTCGCTGTTTTGGGGAACCTTCAAAATGTAAAAGAATCAATGAGCGTTCTTTAATGACAGGTTCAACTAACTGGCAATCGCTGGAAGCTCCATCGGGGCTCTTGTATCCTTGGGACCCATCTTCAACGTACATCAAGAAACCTCCATTTTTCGATGGTATGACGCGAGAGCTTCCCAAGAAGCAGCTCATCCATAACGCTCGAGTGTTGCTCTTCTTAGGAGATTCCGTCACTACCGATCACATCAGTCCTGCTGGGTCCATTGGTAGAACTAGTCCTGCAGCTAGGTAAAATATATCTTTGGACAACCTTAGCATTTTTTCTCATTTACGTAGAATGTATATTAGTACAAAACAAAAAAATGCAATTCGAGTTTTTGTTTCTGTACTGTGAAACATTCGGTTCAATTTTGTAGTAAATTATGTTAATTGATATTGCAAAGTTGAATGAATGTGTATGATGCAGGTATCTTGCTCAGCGTGGCCTTACCCCGAAAGAGTTCAATTCATATGGTGCCAGAAGGGGCAATGATGATGTCATGGCCAGAGGAACTTTCGCCAACATTAGACTTGTGAATAAGTTCATGAGCAAGCCAGGACCTAAAACCATTTTCCTTCCTACCAATGAAGAGGTACGTCACAAAATCATTTATTTGTAGGTTTCGTCTATAATAATTAGAGTTGCAACAGAATATAGTCGAAATCACGAAAGATGACGATTACGTCATCATTTTGGTCTGTAGTAAAGACAAACGACAGCGATTTGTGAATATTTTTAGTTTCAGATATGTAAGACAGAGACAAACAGAATTTTGTTGTCTAAACAAAGTGTATTGCTAATTTGCATGTATCCGACAAAGATAGACGATGTTTTCATGTTGCATGATCGATCATATTTGAAAGATGAATAGTTTGGTTATGTTAAAGCAGGTTCGGTTGTTTTCGAATAATACTTTGGTCTTTGTTGTTCTGTCTACTCATATTTTTTTTCACAACCAAAACTCCCCACTAAAATTATGATTAAGGTATCACTCAAAACCATGAAATAAAATGAACATAAAAATAATCAGTCAAATAACCTAACTTCGCAAAATCATAATATAAATTTGTTGTCATTATGTTCCTGACATCGTGATTTTATCATCGACGTACGTTCATTGATTACTTCAGTACAATTTATGGTATGACGTAATAGTCATCTTTCGTGATTTGACTATAAATATCCAGTATTTGGCTACAATTTATTGTCCGTCCAGTTACTGAAAACTAGCTTTAGCATCTGGGGAAAGCAGGATACTAATACAACAAAAAGCACAAAATATACGTAGTTTATTTTTATTGCTACAATCGACCTTCAGTCAGTAAAATTAAACAGCCAATAATTCTTTTTAACATTACATCACAGATAAAATAAAATGGCGTTGCATGGGAAGTGCAGAGTCACCCTACTTGGCGGCATTTTTTCGAATACTAAGCTAAATGGGTTAAGTGGACCTTATTACGCACGTGAATGTGGATTCAGTTTCGTATAGTTGGGATATTAGTCAGTATTTTATATGCAGATGGACGTGTTCGACTGCGCGCAGAGGTATGCAAGGGAGAACACCCCATTGATCGTCATCACTGGAAAGGATTATGGATCTGGATCTAGCAGAGATTGGGCAGCTAAGGACCATACCTACTTGTAAGTTAACATCAGTACATGCACTATGTATAGGTATGACTCATTTAAGAATCCACAATTACGCAAAACATGTAACCACGTAACAGTAAATGTGGCTGTCAAATGCAAAATTGTGACACTGTTCCAAAGAAGATGACACCCGCGGAGCCTTGTCAAAACCAAATACGATACTATTGCACCTGTCTTCATGGTTCTATGTTCTATATACTGCAACCGAGAAACAGTACAGTGCAGAGTGATGACGCTGGCGAATGCAGAGATTTAAGCAATAGGTTAAAAAGTCTTTATGCCACTATTTCATGGGTGGCTTCAGTGTTAGTGTGGACTACCTCGATTATTACGTATCTGGTACGCAGTAAGAATTTTGCGCTTGACAGTAATGTTTGTTTCGCAGCAAGGATGTGGAGCTAAGAAACAAAATGAAGTCTCGGAGCTCATTTATCTATAAAACAAACTTTTAAATCAAACTTTTTATTAAACATTCTAATTCTTCATGCATTTATGGCTGTTAAATTGAAACCACATTCGTAGGATTGCCTTGTTTACTGACGTTTCGGCCATCTTGATGGTCGTCAGTAATTATTGCAAGTACAATGTTATAAGTATCATACTAATTTTATTGATGTATACGGCTAATGAGAAATCCACTGACACAGTATACATACTGACGGTACGAACCACAGTAAATACTGAACCTGTGGCTTTCACCAAACTGCATATGAACAATTTGGTGATCTCGCTTCATGGCTAATTTTCGTTGTTTTTGATGAGTAGTAATAAAATATCATAGTCACGCGAGCTTTTAAAACTAAAGGAATAGCTGTCTTTACCTCATGTTGGATTATCAGAATGAAAACCACAGCATAAGTTTCAAATATTACATCAAAATTGATGTAAATTCTCTCTGCTGCTTAGGTGCTGAGAGATCAGTTGCCAGATTTCAAATATGAATTTACCTACCTACCTTAAAGCGGTGTATAATATAAAACTAGCGGCACTGTGAAAATGGCGCAACTGACAATTTTTACGTTTTTTGACGATAGGCAAGAGATTTGTAGAGTTTGGCGGTTTAGAATTACTAATATGGAATTACAGATAACATTCATAATATGACATCTCTGTCAAACAATATTAACGATTTTTTAACTTGCCAAAGGCTCTCGACGAGGCGGATATGTATCATTACATCATATGTCTAATAAAGCTATTCAATTCTTTACTGAGGTTATTAGACAAAAACCTCTCTTTCATAGTACTTTACATTATATTATGGAAGCACATAATCACAAATTACGTAGGGCATTCGAGCAGTGATAGCAGAGTCCTTTGAACGTATCCATCGCTCCAACTTGGTGGGCATGGGCATCGTGCCATTGCAATTCCTGCATGGTGAAAATGCCGAAACACTGGGTCTTACTGGTAGGGAGGTATACAATATCGTCATACCAGACGTGAATGACATTAAGCCGGGACAACACATCCAAGTACAGACCAACACCGGCAAACAGTTCCAGGTGAGAAGTGAAGATTATTTATTTTGTTTATACGTTTCTTCGTTCAGACAAAAAACTTCGTAGAAATATAATACTTTTTTGGCGGATATAAATTTTCTTCATTTAATAATGTTTGTGTTCATTCGAATAAATTGCTCATAACATCATTTCAGTTTCCTCATGGTTTTGGTGTTATTGATAGACATATCGCTGAAGTGCCTTTAAAAAAGAATCGCAATAGTATATATCAAAATTTGAGAAATATGATCGTGAATACATAATTATAAATACGTTAGATTTTTCGGAAGAGTCAGTCATGCAGAAAATATTTTTAAGCAGGGGTAAAGGTATCCCATTTTTAAAATCCGGAATTTTCTCGACAGGTGATTCTGCGTTTCGATACTGAAGTGGATTTGCTATTCTACAACATGGTGGTATCCTTAACTACATGATTAGGAAGATGCTGAGTGCTATTTAGAACATTCCAATTTACAACTTGTTCAGTTTGGTTTCTGGTGGTGAGGGGCATTTTATATTCATTTGTTGCTGATTCTCATGATTCATACGTAACTGACGTCTTTACAATATTCCACACGTATAGTCTAGTGATTGTCTAACTTCAACATATTATGTTTCACTGACTTGATTCATCTGACCTAGCAATCTCTTGCAACTTGAATATTATATGTATGTTTTGTTTAATATGTAAAACAACATATTAGAATATGATTGGTATGTTACTTAACAGTTATAACATCAAACATTATTGAATAAGTGGCTGCCACATGTAACCAGTACGAATATGTTTTACAAAGACCGGGGTTGTTATTTGAGTCATTTTGCCCTGTTGATTTACCGAATATGCATTTCCAATAACTTGAAAGATCATCACTGGACTATAGTTGGGGTATTTACATGTTCACGGAAGTGACTGGTTCGGATAACCTATCACTGTTTGTATTATGCTAGGCAATAATATTGTAGGTGGTCTTTTCAACATTATCGTAATTAATTGATATTGAATTTATTGATTCTTGTATTTTATTTAGACTGATTTTTGCGGAATATCATGTTGATGATTTTTATTGCTTTATTGAATAAAGGTTTCATGCGGTTGTTATTGCTTAAAGGAGTATAAACCAATGACATATTTTATTGTATCCAGGAATCCAGCTATTGATTTTGATCGATGTTTATATGTTGATTACGTTTTTATATTATTGCTCGATTTCTCTAGCAATGTACATAGTCTTTGAAACAATAAATATATTCTATTGTTCTAGAGTGTTTTATTTTATAATATGTCCTAGAACAAATGCAACGTCATGTCTATAGCATACGCCAGATCAGCGCATTATCATTGTCACGTATTTAGTGCATAATCAGTACGGAGACCTGTACGATTTCGTCAACTTAGTGAGTTTGATAGGGGCCGTATAGTGGGACTTCCGGAAGCTGGACTTTCTTTTCGGGCAATTGCAGTTAGAGTCCAAAGAAGTGTAGACACTGTGGTTAGGTGTTGTCAGGCATGGCTTCGAGAAGGCCGTACGCAAAGAGCAAGGGGCACTGGACGCCGCCGTAGAACAACGACCGGGAAGATCGCCCGCCTAAGATTATTTGCCTTAAGGGACCGTTTCTGCACTACCAGGTCCATTGCAAATGAATGGTTTGCAGAACACGGAAGACCTATGGTATGCGAAAGTGTTTACCGACGAATGAGAAGTTTTGGCTTGTTTTCATACCGGCCACACTGGGTCCTCCCTTTAACTCGAGAACACCGACGTAATCGCCTTGAGTGGTGCAGACAACGGTCACTCTGGGATCAGGAATGGAACAGTATTGTCTTTAGTGACGAGTCTCGATTTTGTTTAGGCATGCACGATGGTCGTGCCAGGGTTAGAAGGCGACGTGGTGAAAGGAGGAATCCACAGTTTTTTGTTGAAAGACATGTTCATCGCACTGTTGGAGTATGGTTTGGGGTGCTATAGCTTATGGTTCCAGGTCACCTTTAATCTTCATCAGAGGTAACATGAACGCGCAGCGTTATATCCACGAAGTTCTAGAACCCCATCTTTTACCCTATCTTGACACCCTGGCAGATCCAACTTTCCAACAAGATAATGGCACCTGATCAGAAGCATGCCTAGGCGCGTTGGAGAATGCGTAGCACATCAGGGTGCATCCACACATTATTAAAGGTCAAAGGGCTTTAAAGCAGTGCAATCATTTTGAAATTTTTATCATTTACTTATTATGCTTCATTAAGTACTTATACAAAATTTTATTAAAGTAAAACCATTTAAACTGGGTGTTCGGATTTATATGTCACTTAGTATAATTGTGACAGATTGACCCTCAACCTCACATACGCAAGCGCCGCCTAGCTGCAGCAAAACAGGACATCACTGCCATCACCTTCAGAAGTTTAGATCATTTGGCAAACACCTTGAATGGCATTGGAAGATAGATTAAACGATATAGTCCGGTACAATTGATTTCGCAGGCTTACTATCTAACACCTCGAACGGGAATAGCCGATGTTCGTAGACTGAAGGATTTATTGCGGTGAAATTCAGCTTTTTCCAAATTTGATCAGCACCTCGGTCGGGTGGAATAAAGGATATAGTCTGGTGAATTTACCTTCGTAAAAATTATTTGACAAACACCGCGGATAGGATCAGCCGATGCCGTCGGATGGATTAAAGGATATAGTCTGGTAAAATTAACATCATTGCAAGTTTATTAGCCATTGACCTCGAACAGAAGGATAAAGGATACAGTATAGTGGAATTACCTTTGCAAGTTCACTTTGCTAACATCTCAAATGGGAGTACGGGTCAAAACTAAAATTACACGACTTGGATTGGCGGGTAACCTTTTTTTGGAGACTACCTATGGAGGCATGGAAACATTAGGCCCCATAGTATATGACTATACCGAAGTAAGATTTCGATGTGTTAGTTTGTTCGAAATTTTTCAGTGCTTCATTGGCTGATATTTCAAATGCCCTCCGAATAAAAAAAGCCACAAAATTATTTTTTTCCGCACACAACAAATTAATGTCAAAAGTTCCTATAAAAAAAGTTCTACCGGCTTTCCTATTAAATACAGGAGTCTAAGGAACGCCACTGGAAATCAGTTTTAACAACTTTAAGAGACACCTTAGAATTAATTAAAATATCCTGATAGTGTCCATGGGAAAGATTCAACTCAATCAGATCGCTAAGGAAGAGACTTAAAATGAAATATTGATAAAAAGTTTTTCACACTGCACACAGACTTTCATAATGGCAAAACGATAACATTTTGGCATTTATGAAATTGACCATTTTTGACCAAACTCTGTCGTTTCCATACCATTGCTGTCGATTTATATTGCAGCTACTCCCAATAAGGTCTGACTTAAATCTATAACTCAATCAAGCGATCTGAAAAATTACATCCTGGCGTTTTCGGCAAGATTATTACGTAACAATCTAAATAATGTTAGAGAAACCGACAAAATGTCAACTTGTTGACTAGATAGTTCTTAGTGAGCAAATAGTTCATACCGCTATTGCTCGCTGTGAGCATCATCTATGGGGGAATGACTCAACGATACGCTCAGTGACCAGCTGCAAGTCAGTTCTCCAACATTCATTGTTGGTATATCTCTTTGAAAATGTGACAGAAAAAGATTGGTTGAATAGCAAGATCACATCTGGATTGGATGGTGATTGTGTGTATTGGTCAGCGTGTGAATAAAATCAGTGATAATTGCTATGTGAAAAAATTATTACTGAATATGCTGCCCATGACGTATGTGTATTAGCTGTACCAGTCAGGTTACTTGTGTTGTCCTTTTCACAGTATAGAGCTTACAGCTTAGACCTCCAATAATGCATCTAATCTCTGAAGTAGATGCTATATCATAGTCAAAGATTGTTATCTGAAGCGTCATAACGTTTAGGCAAAACATACAACTACAGAACGAGTGCACATCAAGTAAACTACAGCTAGTTCCAAGTTGACATCTTGTAGAAACCTACACAATGTCGCAAAAAACCTATATAATGTTCAAAAACGACATAAGATAAGTAATACCCCTGCCGGTCCCCAATTACAAACCGGTTACCAGAATTATTGCATTTCCAAAATGACGAGAGTGATACTCTGGATGCAGTACCAAAATCAATAGAACTGTACTGAAACAAAAGCAGTCCATTTTATCGAGAGTGCATTTGCTTAGCTTAAAAATTAGGATTTTCAAAATGTTACTTTTGAGACATTATGATTCAGGGTGCACATTTTTTTTACTAATAGTGCTTTGGGCTTAATCTGCTCCTAGCGATCTAAATGAATGACTAAATTGTTTTTTATGGACAAGTTACTAAATATAAAAATTCCATCGAATACTACAGCGTCGTTCAGAAGTTATTTGGGAGAAACCAATTTTCAGTAGGGGAGCCTCGTAGGACGTTTTTCATAGGAAGTTGTAGTATTTTTTGTGATTTATATACATACGAGAGAGTGACAGGTTATTCTCGTATAGCCCGCGCAGATCACAAAAATGCTATGCGACCAGTTTACCAACATCACTATTTAAATGGGTATTGGTTACTTTTATTTGTGTAACTCAATTCATTATAGTTATGACATTGGAACTTGACACTTAACGTATATGTGATGTATTTGTGTATTTGGAAGATATGAATTGGATCACATATTCTCCACAACATTCGCTGCTGTAACGATTCAGGTATGCCCCAGTATCACTCTCTTTTATTTATTTATTTATTTATTTATTTATTTATTTATTTAGATTCAATACACTGCCTGAACGGAACACTCCATTGAACAGGCAGGAAGTACAGCATGCTCAGCCGACAGTTAGAAAATACCTTCGAAGGCTGTCTTTACTGTAGTGAAAGATATCAAGTGCACGTGCACTTTCACAAATGCCACACATAACATAGAGTGGTGAAAACAACAATAAGTTTGTTCTAGGAACAGGTAAATAGAATAAACTGTTGCTACCATGACGAGTACGCAAATTAGGTATGTGTAAATAAATTTTCTCTAAGAGTGAAGGACAATCAATGCTGCCATCGAGCAATTTACACAAAAGGGTAGCAGCGAATAAATGTCTGCGCTTCGTTAAATTTGGCAGATTGAATCTGCTTAATAATATGTCATTACGAAAGCCCCTTTCAGGATAAACTCTATCTTCTTTATACACAAATACTTCACGAAACGTCGCTGAACTCTCTCAAGATTATGGGAATGTACATCGTAAGCCGGGTACCAAATAATAGAACAATATTCTAGAATAGATCTAACAAAAGCATAATATAGTAAGATTAAAGTTTTAGGATTATGAAATGTCTGCTGTTTCTGATAACAAAACCAAGATTTTTGTACGCTTTTGCTACAATAGTATTTATCTGCTCGATAAATGTCATTCTGGGGTCAAACAAAACACCTAAATCTTTGAACGAAAAAACTCTCAGGAGCGAGCTGTTTCCAATCTCAGAGACAGATTCTATCGGTTCCAACTTGCGTGTTAGCGTCATAGTGCAACATTTATCAACATTCAAATGCATATTATTAACTTCACACCACTGATGTACAAGGTTCAGATCTGCTTGCAATGCTAAACTGTCATCTAAGGTATTAACACACTTCTAAAAATCTTGAGGTCGTCAGCATACAGCAAATACTCACACCGCAAGTCACTTACTATGTCGTTAATGAATATAAGAAATAACAAAGGGCCAAGTACTGAACCCTGGGGTACGCCTGACGTAGCCAACACCGGATATGATTTGTAACCACGATAATCTACACGTAAATGTCTGTTATTAATGTATGACTGGAAAAAATCAAGAAATCTAGACGTTAAACCAATTTTTGACAACTTCTGTATCAAAATACCGTGATCTAAACGGTCGAAAGCTTTTGAAAAATCGGTATAGACTACATCAACCTGCCCTCCTTTGTCCAAAACCTCCGCAGCGTATTG